TTAGTAGCCATGTCATCAACATTGTCATAGGTATGGTCATACAGTAACCATTGCTAGATCATTGCCATAACCACCGCCATATATACTCTCTCATAAAATGATTTCTTTATAAAGATTTGCATATTTTGCCTGAAATGTTTTATAAAGTTACTTATTTCTGAAAGTAGCTTTAGTGTTTACTGATTGGACTACATCGTCTACACGTAAGGAAGTTTGGTTATTTATTGACATTTAAAAACAATTTGAAGAGCGTGGAATAAAATCTGCAAGCCCTTCGTTTTCGGGGAAATAAAGGGTAGGATGTTGGGTATAAAAGGGTGGTATGCTTTCAGTTTAACTGTCAACTGTTGCTTGAACTGTGACTGATTTTGGACTAGGCCCTGCAACTCGAAATGACGCCATCGGACGTTTAGAGGCTGGCGAATGTCAGTCGTCAGTTGTTCGGCATGTCAACGTCCACCACAACACAATCTCCTCTTTGGGACAGATACCAACGTTATGGATCTACAACAGATTGCTCAAAAGGCCTGGCAGACCGAGGATCACTAATGCTGCTTAGGGTCAACCGGGTCTTCCAACCACGTCATCCTACTGTTACAGCGACAGACACCGCCTCCAATGTGCGTGGTCTGCGTAGGGTGTCGGTGCAAACAATACGTAATCCTCTTAGTGACTTTGGACCTGGAGCCCGAATGCCGTATAATGCGGTGCTATTCTACGACGTCAGCATCGACATTTACGTTCGCAATGGTGTGTGAACATTGGCGTAGAGTATGGTTTAGTGATGAATGACGTTTTTTAAAACGCATGCTCATGAATTATACCAATGACCACGCTCGGAATTATACCATTGACTCTGCTTTTGTCAGAGATTCTTTATGAAAATGGTCAGGGTTTTGTTGCTGTTATTTACAGTCGGGAATTCCGCGCAACGAGGCAATAGCTCAATGTATGTGCGCAGAATAGGTATTGAGGAGGGAGCACGTTCAAGTTTAATCGGTTAGTCAAGGAAACCGCGTTCATACGTAATGAATATAAACTTACACAGCCATAGTCAAGTCGAAGTTTTGTTGCTGTTATTTACCTCAACGTCAGATAGGCCAACCTGTATCTACAGACGTAGAAATGAACGTTTTGCTCAGAATTGTGTTGTCGAAGTAGATAGATTCGGATGTGGCAGTATCATGATGCCATATCCTACAACGGTAGAGCCAACCTGGTGCCCGTGAAAGTCAATTTGACAGCATGACGTTACCGAGATGAAGTTCTCAAACGTCACCCTCTTCCCTCTATCGACCCTCAACTAGTGTTTTCAGCACGACAACACTCGACACTATTGATTTCCTACAGAATCAGACCATTGCTGTGCTTCGATGGCCACAAAGATCGCCCGATGTAAACCCATTTGAACATCTGTGCGATGAACTCGACCGCCGTGTCCGACGTCAACCGCCGTCTCAAACGCGTCCGCAACTTCGCCACGCATTGCAGGATGAATGGCCACAAACACTACAGGATCAATTCCAGCGACTTATTCAGTCAATGGTTAGGCGTTGCGGAACTGTGATACAGGTCACTGGTGGTAAAAAAGGCACTGACGTTAACGCTGCCACATAACGTGGACGTTTGTGTGACATTTATGTAAGTCAGATGTGACAACAGACAATATGACTTTCATCATGTGACGTTTGACATTCATAGATATTAGTTTCGGTTCATATATATTTCATTTGAAATATAGACGACGAACGTAAACATTTTTACCCGTGCGTTTCTTTTTCTTTGAGTATATATTGACAAAGCTATAGTCACAACCATAGCCGTAGCCAAAGCCATAGTCGTAGGTTAAGTGAGGCGAGATTCGGTGAAATAGGTTTAACGTTGCGTTCAAGATAGTTGCACTTATATAGTGACGTGCATGTGTGTGTGTTTGACTGTTTATGTGTGTGTGTGCGTGTGCGTGGGCGTGCGTGCGTGCGTGTACTGCTGTGTGTCTGCTTGCCCGAGCTAAAGCCGGTTTTATTGTGCTTGTCCTCTGAGATACCTTGCCGCAGTTTAACACGAGTACTCCACTCAGGCACTGGAAAGTGTCTCCGAGCCGTCCAGTCCTTTTTCATCCCCTAACCATCGAGCGCAAGGCAGGGCAACAACAAGTTTTAACGTCTTTTGCTGCTTTATGCTTTGATAGGATCGGATTTTCCGCCTTGCGGGCAGACGCTCTATCAACTAGACCACATAGGCGATCACGGTCGTAGCAGTAGCCATAACAATAACCGTAACCTAAGTTAATACAACAAGATTCTGATTCTGACTGATTAACATTGGCACTGCTCGATATTTTACCAAATAGTTTTCCACACACACAATTCCAACGTTATTCCCATCTCACTCACTCGCTTAATTGCTAGTATATATTCGTACAATATTGTGCGGGACAGAAAAAACAAAAACTACGTGCATTGTAAAGTTAACAGGGCAATAAAATGTATCATAAATCTAACTTTCATGCCAGATGTTTTCGACACTTCAAATATATGCAGATGCATCAAAAAGCTAAATCATCAATACGTTGTGCATTTTGTATCATCAGCAAAGCAGCATCAGGGACTTTTAAATCTCACGATATGTCTAGGATGTTGTGTACATAAAACTTAACATTTTTTAGAATATTTCCCAAACTGCTTTCATATAATTTCGCCGGAGTAGAGTTGGTTGGTTTGTTGGTTTGTTGTTTTACGCCGCACTCAGCAGTATTCCACCCATATGACGGCGGCCTGTAAATAATCGAGTCTGGACCAGACAATCCAGTGATTGATATTATGAGCATCGATCCACGGAACTGGAATCGATGACATGCATCAACCAAGTCAGCGAGCCTGACCACCCGATCCCGTTAGTCGCCTCTGACGACAAACATAGTCGCCTTTCACGGCAAGCATGGGTCGCTAAAGACCTATTCTACCCCGGATCTTCACAGGTCTCAAGCTCGTTGTGCGTCCTGGTGGTGTGTGTTGTGCAAGTGCCTGTGAATTTACACATTAAATTTCAATACATATTACAAATGTTTAACTGTTTAACTTTGACACATCTTTAAAGGTGTTTAAGTTCTAGACATTTTGGATTATGGGTATGTTGTGTTTAGGTGATGTTTAGGCTATGAGGCGATAGATCATTTTATGTGTTGAGGCCCTAAACATTTTTTTTATGGAACACATACTTAAACATGTCTTGTATGTGTTTAAATTCTTAACACATTTTACTGCGTGGTTTAAATAGTGATTCATGCGATCATACCAATGTAATAAGAGATATTTACTAATCTGTAAATTCGCTGTTTACTAGGTTCACACTACATTATTAACGGGTATAATGTCAAGTATTGCTTTGGTTTCTCCCCGCTGTTATATAACTGAAATACTGTTCAAAGCGGCGTTAAACCCAACTCCCTCACTCCCGTCGTTTCCTGAGGTTTCCATGTCTATAACAGAGATTCACCATAATACATGCACAGTATGTATATGAATGGGAAATATTATCGTCGAACGTTGTGACACCTTTGCTTGAATTCAAAGCTGTCGAACATCGATACAGCATCACAAAATACTACATTAATTCCTGCACAATCACACCATACACATAAATAATACCTGCTTATAAATAAGGATCAACACATGTGTAGAGCACGAGATGACGTCATGCGCAGCTGGTGTCAACCGTAAAATGAGTCTGACAATTAGTACTGTTCGTCACTGTCAAAAGGAAATAATTCAGATGACACTGATTCAAACTATTTCGATTTGATGCTTTTAACTTTGTTCCGATTAATCGGAAAACACAAGAACTAATATCCTGGCTTGACAGCTTGGTCACGGATGGAACCAGTTATCGGTTTCATCTACACACAGGCCTAGCCTCATGATCTGAACTACCATTGACAACTGCCGGAAACCGGTGGCGATAACATGGCTTCATTTAAACACGTGATCGAGGAGGCAGAAGCTTACCCCGCCTTGACACACACAGGCTATAGCATTATGTCCAACTGACTTGTATTACTCACAACCAAAGGTTTAATAGTCGTTCAACGGAGCACAATGTTGCCCTGACGTGATCCAAAATATCAGTTCAAACACCTGAAACTTGCCTTTAGTCTTACACTTGCAATTCTAAACTAATGTCAATTTTCGTCTGAAGACACGTGACACCCTTCATACAGATTACGAACAGTTCTATCCATTTCGTAAATTTTGCAGCTACTGGGGACCAAAAACGACCTCGTCCAAAGGTTTGACATGTTATTTTCACATGCAACAATGATTATGACCTAATTCGAGATGCGTGACAAAGAGGCATAAACTAAACAAGCCGCTGTGCAGAGTAGCGGCCTTCAGCCGGACAAGAGCATGGTCGTTGTACAGAGTAGCGTCCCTTAGCCGTACAAGGGAATGGTTGCTGTGCAGAGTAGCGTCCCTTAGCAGGGCTCGACAATCGTTGCTATGTGGAGTAACGTTCCTAAGCCGTGCAAAAACAAATGTTTGTGAACATCACACATCGCAGTCACCACGGTGGTATCTACATGACACGGCGGTGGTTGATAAATACGATCAAGAGGCCACTCAGTCAGGATGACATACAATAAAAGGTCGCAGCCACCAACGTAATTTGCAGGCATCTTTCACGACTAACTACTGGGTACACGGACATGGCCGGTATCCCCACGGGCACCTCATATTTCATTCTTCATGTTTGATGCCTATTGAGTAAGGGGGACATAAAGCCGCTCCACCCATAGTAACAAAGGAATAAAGTAACAAAAGCCCATAGTACCGCACGACATGGTTACCACTTTACGGACACCCACGTATCGGAGATTCTAACCAACGATCGCGGGATTCTGGAACCTCTAAGGCACGCAACTCTGCACAACGCTTTGCAGACGAATGAGCCATCCCTCATTCAGACGGTAAGACATGAGATAAATGATGAAGTCATCAAGTTACCTGAAATTCCTTGATAGGTCCACCATTTCGTCCAAAGGTCACCTGGCAAATAAAAAAAATACGTGTCACAGTTATAATCACATAAATGCATTTTATGCTGTTATACGTTGATGTTTTCATGGCGACTATAGGGAATACTTACAGACAGGTTACACCGCGCACCTAGTCTACTGTATCGACCCAAAACGCTAACTGGACGCATGAGCTAATGCAACCTTAACTGATGTCGAGACACATTAATACGATCAACGCCAAGCAGTTACTCTTTCAAGATTCTGAGTGCGGTGCCTGGACCCCGACGGGCCTTATTCCATCACTAGGCATTGTAATAGACACGAGTTATCTATCTGTGGTTACATGTATTGGGGGCCACAAACATAAAGAATATGCTGCGTGTTTTGTCTCGTATGATGAGGTGAACCTGTCCAATTAACTATATTCGTGCACCTAGTTAACTCATCAAACTAGTTTCTGTCTTTACTCACATGTCATGGAGAAGACAGACTGGGCATATGTGTACGTCACGTTGACGTGATATTTTGTTGGGATGAAAAGAACATAGAACACAACTCTTTTGATCCTTTGAGATCATTGGTTCCTATTTCCTGGCTGCCAATAACCCATTGTCGCCGCAGATTTAGGACACCCACATATACGTCTATTGAGATAGTTGTCGTTTGATCTATTGACAAAATGTCAGCGTTTGGATTGATATTCTGTATAGTTTCTCAGCTATAGCATACACCCACTCCCTGATATATGCATTTTAACAAAGCACATATATTGAGATATTAGATATAATAAGGTCTGCAAAATTGTTCTACAATATATCATGCTACGCCCTGCCCTGCCTTGCCTTGCCATTCCCTTCCCCGACCTGTCCTACCTTACCATACCTCACCCTGCCCTGCCCTGCCCTGCCCAGCCCTGCCCCGCCTTACCATTCCTTACCCTGCCCTGCCTTACCATTCCCTGCCCTGCCCTGTGCTGCCCTGTCCTGCCATCGCTTCACCATTGCATGCTATGCTAATCCAGATTGTATTTATTCTTCGTGGTGAAGTCTGCCTGACAGGAACCCTACAAACTTTTGAAGTTCAAATGTGAAAGTTTTGTGGACTTCTGTGGACAAACGATACATATCAAATAAAGAAATGCATTATTCAGCTAAACAGAAGATTTTGAACAATATTTTTTTAAAAGTGGCAATTAATAACAACAAAACATCTTTCCACCTTGGGCAATACTTTGGAGGACGGTTGCTCCGTGTTGGAAACCTATATGCGGACTGCCTGATTTGCCGCAATTAGTGTCAGTCGACAGCATATGTAAGTTGGCATCGCTGTCTGCGCTATTGATATTTAGCTTGTAGCATCCCGAGATATTGCAAATAATTGACACCGTGATGGAACGGCGTAATAGCAGAAGAATAATCACTTCACCCCAGGGCAACCCCGCAGCGAACTTGCGTCTCTTTAGGAAGCAGTAATAGGGATAAGGTGGTCTAAAACATTACCCAGATTATTGACAGATGTGGCTGTGTCGTCAATTATATTATCATGAAGGCCACTGTGTGAGATGATCCTAATGTGTGATGGAACTAGAGTCAACTGATTGTTCAGTGAAAGGATGGAGTTCATCGTGAAAAAAATTGACAGTTGTATCAATCACAGAGGAAATGGCAATCGCGTTTTGCCACAAAGTGATTTACCAGTGATTTTTGTTGTGGCTGCAATGGCGTCAACGTAATGGTCTTTTGTGAACCTCTGATATGACAGCATATCAGCATATGACCGTTTTCAAAGGGCTTGCAATGCGTCTTCATCAAATTCACCATTGTGAATATCGTAAAAAATAAAACGTCACCGCTAGAGATGATCCAGTAAAAAAAGACCCCACAAAAGGCAAAATAGCTGTGCAAGTTAAATGTATGGATCACTGAAAATCAGTGATGATATCAGATGTTCGCGAAAAGCAGTTGAATGCGTGAAGGTATATGGTAATATTCCAGCATCACCAGATGGGGGACACCAGAAATGGGCTTCACACACTGTACCCCGTGAAGAATTAAACCCGAGCTTTCGACGTGACGAGTAAATACTTCAACCACAATGGACTCACATACCCAAACCCAACCCCTCCCAAAAAATGAAGTTTTTGATGGTTACCTGGTCATGAAATTGATAATCCATATGACACAACCTGGTCATGAGAGAGATAATCTGAAAGCCACAGTTCGTGACGGCTCCTTGTTCATGAGAAAGCAATAGCTTATGACAGCAACGTGTTAACGAGAGGGACCATCCATGAGCCATAGTTCATACCATTCGCTTTATGGTGAAACACCCAAGTACTCATGTAAAACGGAATCCTAACTAACAATATCTATTAATGTAGACAAGGATGTAAACAGCTCCTTTCAAAAGTAGGAGGCAGAGATATTCGTATGTGAAGAGTTTGTGTTGTCCTGTGTGATACAGCAGGGAATTTTCATCTCCTCGACATGCAACTGTGAATAAAACCTTACAGTTTCTTACCGCTATCATACATGCACACGCATGGAAATATACGTTTATGAAATTACACGGTAAACAGCTATGTTGCCATGGACAGATTGTGCTGATACGGTTGCCGTGCTTCCGATCTCGATCTGACACAAAGTGATGTTCAACAAGGTCCATCCTCCTCCTAATTCATACATCCTATAAAATGTCCGCTTTTAAAAAAAGCAACTAAAAACAAGCTGTTGCCCACCACTGTGACTAAACTGGCAACACATTCAATTATCGAAGTGCCTCCGTTGCAAAAGCAATTAGTAGATTTCTCAACGGTGCCATGGCGATCTTACACAAACATCTGTCTGGGAAGGTGTATGCCTTTATGAAATGATGGCTCTACCCTTTGACTAGTGGTAACACTTGATTACCATGTCTAGTGGGTGTTATATTGTGTTCTAACATTCAGGCTCCGTGTGGTCAACACCCATTTCTTGTCGCAAGAGCCGAGGATCGAGTGGTTTCAGTATGCATGTATGATCTGGATGAGTGAGTGCCATTATGCCCGACCGTGTATATCGTCGCTTGTTTGTCTGGCCCAGACTCGACCAAATGGCCCAGCCATAAGTATTGTCATGTAATATACTCAACAACAAAATTTCCCGTGACACCAATATTTTAGTGTATTTTCCAAACAAGTAAAGTTTTTCAATATTGTAGTACATGTATGGAATCAAGTCACAAAAACGCAACTGCTACAGAATAGCATGCATTCCATGCAAAAAATGACTTTTTTGCAAGCCCCTTGCATTTCACTACCCAAGAATGGGTATAAAAACATGTGCGTTAACGGGATTCCATATGCATTGTTGAGCATCGTGCTGACAACAATTACTCAGAAAAACAACCAAATTACGCAATTATTCAACATTACGATATGCCACGCCTGTCCGAAAATGAGCGTCTGCGAGCCATTGGTATGCTTGAAGCAGGATCGAGTCAACGTGATGTTGCAAGACAATTTAACGTCCACAGCAACGGATTACAGCAAGACAGAGGACCCGTTTGATAGTGGTAGAGGGAAATCTCAATGGACAGCGCTACCGCGACGAGATCATCGGCCCTGTTGTTCTACCGTTTTTGCGTCGTCATGGCCCAGGCATAACCTTTCAACATGACAACGCCCAGCCTCATATTACTCGACTTGTTCGGGATTCTCTTCAACAAAACAACGTGAATGTCATCCCCTGGCCGGATCGCTCCCCTGGTCTCTCACCAATCGAGCACATGTGGGATGAGATGGCTCGGCGCCTTCGACGTCAACCACATGTTCCACAGACACTCCAGGAACTTCGAAACATGCTCCAGCAGATATGGACAGATATCCCTAAGGACTTTGTGCGACGCCTGGTCCATTCCATGAGACGAAAATGTGTTGCTTGCATCGCAACCAGAGGTGGACACACACGCTATTAGTTTGTACATTTTGGCATGTTCATATTTGTTATGAAATCAAGCATTTTCTGAACTTATTATGGCAAATTAAACCATTTGAACATTTACTGGAGGCTTTTATTTGTTGCAAACCGAAATTGTTTCAGATTTGGTAAATAAATAACTTTGCATTAAATCTTATTCAAACTCACAGGAACTTTTGTTGTTCAGTATATCTTTGACAGGGACATTAAATATGATTAACCAATTTATGATCCAACTGTGATCGTGATTTGTCATATACTTTGATGTGCTCATTCCATCGATGGCGATGCAATACCTTCTGATTTGAATATGGCATGATAATTTCAAGTATTAAGGTAGGACTTCTTTGAGAGGCATTTAGTTGGAGTACTATGTAAGGATATGTTATATGGACGAACAACTTCTCTATTACAACCATGAGCGCCGTTTCGGTGGAGGTTTTAACGCCGTTATCAAGCAAGTGATAACGGCATGATTAAGGCGTTAGAACAAGTGATGAGAAATGCTTGATCACGGCATCAGAACATACACCAAAACGTCGCTCATAGTTGTAATATAGAAGTTGTTCATCCATATATCTTATCCTTACTTAATTGTGATAGGAGTTTGGTGAAAGCCCCAGGCTGTCATCCTCAGAAGCGGTGGAACAGCTAGTTATCTTAGGGATTAAAGCGTTTTGATGACGTCAAGCTGTTGTTGTAGTTCATTCTGAGCCAGGAATTCGTTGGCCATTCTTAACGTGCATTTTAACAAATACAACTGATCCCGGAAGTCGATTCAATTAGATTCTACTTCCGGAATCAACACATTCTCAACATGTCTCCATTACATGATTGTTTGAAGAAGTCCTACATGTATGTGGTCATCATGTCTCTCCCTGTCTGCATATATGTTAGAACATAATTCCAGGACATCTCTGATTAAAACATGTTCATTTCTTGATAGCTGTCTATCATCACGGACATAAACTTATTATTTCAGATATTTGTCAATGAGATATTTGAATTTATACCTCAAAAGTTGATTGAGGTGTCAATGTATAACCATTACGTTATCACCGTTCTATCATGG